GCTGTATGCAAGACTTCATGTTTCAGTAGAAGCTGTATGCAAGACTTCATGTTTCAGTAGAAGCTGTATGCAAGACTTCATATTTCAGTAGGAGCTGTATTCAAAACTCCATATTTCAGTAGAAGCTGTATTCAAAACTCCATATTTCAGTAGAAGCTGTATGCAAGACTTCATGTTTCAGTAGAAGCTGTATGCAAGACTCAAGTTATGAGTAGGAGTTATATGCAAGACTCTATGTTTTAGTAGAACCTGTATACAAGACTCTATGTATCAGTAGTAGCTGTATGCAAAACTCTGAATAGACTATCTGAAACTGGCACTCTTAATAATAGATATGGTTAATATAGTAAACATAAACTTTCTAAAAGCAATGTTTAGTATGCCAGAGTGTGTGTTTTTTCTTACCAAACAGATAGCGGCTGAGAGCAGAACTTGCCAACGAATCTGCTGTAAAAACAGTTGTGATAGTTATCCCAAGAACAATAAGATATACATTAACACGAAGTAGTCTCAACGGACGCGTAGCTGCTTGAAAAACTGCTGCTGAGAAAAGGTAAAACTAAATCAAAAGTTGAGCCGCAAAGAATGAAATGAAAGAAACTGGAGACGTGTGCTATTTACAGATGAATCAAGACTCTAATTGTTCGGAAACAATCAGCGAAAGTTTGTTCGACGGAAGAGAAAAGAATGTACCATAACCAATATATAGAGTAAAACATGGTGGAGGATGAGAACAAAAACTTTGGCCTCGGTGATCTACAAATAATTAATGACACCCTGATTTATTGACAAATACATACCTACTCATCGGACTGGGACTCGTCTTCCAGCAAGACAATGATCTTAAGTGTATAGAGAAAGTGGTGAAAAGAAATTTTAATTGTAAAAATAAAGACGACAGAACACATGCAAACATCGTCTAACCTGCACAAAGTCCCGATATGAACATTCTTCAGACTGTTTGAATTCATATAAAACTAAGAAGTTCAAAGGTGACCAAACAACTTGGCTGAAATATGGAGAGTAATACATGACATTTGAAACAATATTCCACAATCTTACATTGATAAACTACATGGCAACATGAAAATAAGGTGTAATATCCTGTATAAAGTAAAGGGTGGCATAAAAATACAAGTGTACCATATTTGCTTTTGTTCTGTATTCTATATGATAATATTTTGTAACATTATTACCGTATTTTTCGGTGTATAAGACGCACTTTTTTACCCCAAAATTTGATGTCAAAATCTGCTTGCATCCTATACACCGAAGGTATGAATAATATATATGTATATATACGATATACACGAGCCATGTGTAAATATATTTAAATAGGCATGCATAGGTTAGTTCAATTGAATGTGTTATTTATAACAATAGTAGTTTTTTCTTTTAAAAACAGAACTGTTTATAATGCTCCCTAAATAATAAAAAAATAAATTACAGTGAAAGCAATGAAGATTTTGTAGGTTTTGAACCAAACTAAATAACAGTAAACCTTTTTTTGATTTACAGTATTTTCTTATTTTGATGTTTGAGCTCTTTTGTGTTTAGAACAATATATACTAATTTTTAAAGTATCAAACTGAATTTTTGTTCAATAAAAATCTTTCAAATGCGACTCTAGCTTTTTTCCCCCAAAACTTTGTCTTCAAAATAAGGGTGCGTCTTATATTCCGAAAAATACGGTAAGTTAGTGTGTGTCACCAGATAGTCAAAAGCGAGTTTCTGGACTTATACTGTTAAAATCCGGAGTTTCATCCCTCGTGACATATAGAACGCAGATGGCCATTGTGTGACTTTGCGCTAAAGACAAACAATATAAAATAACAAGTTATGTTT